TATGGTCTACAGCAAAGTGGAGCACATGAAATCGGACGGCTACTGCGGGATGGCCCAGAACCTCGACAGCGCCAAGCTCCTAGCCGCCAAATACATGAGTATGTACCGAACTTTTCCTACCGACCACGTGTTCAGCAGGAACGAGAGTCTACCCGCTGACCACGTGTTCGGCAATGGAGCGACCGACACCAAGTCTGGCGCGTACATGGCTCGTTACGCGGATACCTACTATATCACGTGGCACAGGCCGAAGCTCGGGGGATGTTGGGCCGGAAGAGTGTATGCGTGGCCCATCAGTAGAGTCAGAGAAGCAGGCAGGGAAGACCCGTTGTCATGGTGAGGATGGATAGTTTGTCAGTGGGATATTCTCGTGTGTATTTATAGCTCATGTAGGCACACTGCGAGCGTGCGCAGAGGGTGATGGGCCTTTCGGTGTGTACTGTGTCTGGTGACGAGTTTGTTGCTGTCTGTGGGATGGGACTTTGCTTGCACGTGCTGCTTCGTACTACCTCCGGTCCTGATGTATATGCACCAACAAGTCGTTGCAATACCTGTATGTGGTGTCGTTAGCATGCATCGAACACTCGTATATACTCACATGTATGCTCGATATCTACTGCCGTGTTCATATGTCCCATGTGTGCTTGTTGGTGTACACTTCACCTTTTCGTATATGCCCCGGTATGTCTTGCATCTTGGGTCTGATCGGGTCTTGGTATCTTCTACCTGTTATATATATCCCATTCGTTTAAATAGTACATTCTATGCGCTTAGCGATCCAAGCAACTCTACGTATCTGAATGCTCGTTCGGACATGCCGCGTGCGTACTATGATATCATCGTTTCGCATATACTGGTGTACACGTACACGTTGGTTTATATACGTAAAAGGTATACCCACTAAACGACATACTCTCCAGTGATACATCCGAGTAGCAGTAGCACCGCAAAACCTTTAGGCAAGAGTCCGTTGCTTAGCAACCAAAACCTCTCCAGATCAACCAACACCCGGCGCTTAAAGCCCTAACTCCCACCGTCGATCTCGTTCCATAACGTAGGATACCCGAGAAGCACGTGACGAGTATGATAGTGTTCAACGCCCAACGCGAGTTCGACGCACAGCTGGGACTGGACATCACACCGGGGAGACTCAGCTACGACATGGAGATGGATCCTCTTGTACCTGTGGACTATCTGCCCAGCAGGAGAGAGAACTGATTACACTTTGTGTACTTGTGTCGGCTCTGTCTCCAGCGATGTCATGGTAGGGAAGGGAGAGTTATGGTTGTTTGTTTTGCATGTTTGCGCTTGATTGTGGAGGTTAGTATGGTGTTGTGGTAGATAGTGATGCCCATGTAGGGATGTGTTCTATCGACGTGTCGACTTACTTTATATTCTGCTCCATCGTGAAGGTTGTGTGTTGTCACTAGGAAATCCACATAGCGGCCCATGTTCTTAGACATAGCATGACAGACGGTATAAATCGATTCATCAAACCACAGAGCTAGGGTGGTCGTACAGTAACAGTCGTAAAAGCATATTATCTGTCTACGTTTTTGTGTATCACACACACACACAAACATATACACCTACACAACACAACGCCAAACACACAGCTAGAGTCGTCCCCATCAAATGTTATCTCCGATGCTCTCGTGGCAAATTTTGTATTGATAGAAAACCCCCAAGTAACATTCAATGAAGTGGCCTATTGAATCACACCCAATCAGCAGACAAAAGGATGCACGCGAATATGCACATGGCCGCATTATATCTTACTTCAAATGTAATCCGTGTGTTGCACACGCCCAGTGACTCGTGTCATACTAGCATTAACCAGACCAAGAGACTGTTCTGATTCTTTATTTTTCGTTCGGAAACATCTATATAATTGCAGGTGATGCGAGCAACCTGTACCCCCTAGGTCTGGGGCATCGTAGCCACCCCCTCAAACTCTGAAAGCCAAGCTTCCCATTCAATATACATGCGTTAGTACAGTTGACACAGGCACATAACAATGGCCACGATATAGGCTGGCGGCCAGAAATAGTCTGTGCCGTTCTTTCGGTCACGTGAGCTTCACACCTTCCATCACCCAAGGCCCAAACTTACCCAAGCCAGTGAGTGCATGTTCACCACCAAGCCCAAATGATCGCTCCTACCGCCGCCATGGTGAAAGCCGGAGAACCTACACGCCCCGCAACCGCCGCATTAGTTGCATCTGTCTGTGCCACACTTTCAATACCCTCTACTGCGGCGGTGGTGGTAACGCTGGCTAGGCCGCTCCCGTCCTGTTCGGCTGTTGAGTCTTGATCAACTCCGGTGGTCTCATTCGTAGCCGCTTGTCTCCGACGACGTCGACGCGTATCGTCCTCGTATGAAACATCAAGCAACAATCGAAGTTCAAACTCGGCGATGTTGCCCAGTCCAGGGTTGGAAAAAATCGGGTGGACGTTCTGATGAATGAAATACTGGACAAGGAAGGTCTGATCCGACACACACAAGCCAAGCTCGGGACAGCTGAGTGAGTCTTCATAGCCGGCCAGAACATCCCTGGTGGATATGTAGTCGATGTTGGGTATCAGTGCTCCAGTAACTTTGGGATAGGCTACTCCTTGACTGGATGCGGTATCAGTCCATGCACTAGACCCAGAGCTGTCTCGCGCCTGACTCTGTACTACGGTGACTTGGGTCACGGCCAGCCCGGCAAAATCTACTCGAGCGTAGGCATAGTAGTTATATACCAACGCGGTTTTCGGTGTGTCGCCATTAGGTTTTATAACTTCCTCGTCGGTCAAGAGATCGGTTGCTGTCCATTCACCTGCACCTTTTTGTCGATTATTTGGGTCGATGAAGATGAATTGTTCAATGCTTACGGCGTTTTCAATCGTGACCGGCTCGGTCTCTGAACCGCAGAAATTGTCGGACGCCAGCGTAAATTCAATGGCCGTGTCTTTGTTCTGTTGATTGATTGGGCAATCCTTTTCGGTCAGAGCTTCGTAGCAATCGATCACTACATCGGAGATAGTGTATATACCATTCAATGTACACTGGCCATGCACTAGCTCTATGTACGCTCTTTTGAGGCACCCGCTGTTAGCCAGGGTGTACTCATCCGCATCACAGCCTGACATTCCTATGAACTCCCCATTGTCCGTGCCGCAATACCCTGCGCCTAGATCCTCTGTACAGAGCAGAGCTATGTTGTCAGTACCCGTGTTTTGAAGTACGGGGTTCATGGCGAGGACTGTATACGGCCGGCTCAGAACGTAGGTGAGGGTCAGATGTGACGTTGTAGACCCTTCATCGATTGCCTGCGTCGTAAGGGCTGAATCGATAGCAAATGGCGAATAGACTGCAACCTCGGCGGTGGTGAGTTCAATTCTACTCAACATGAGGATACGTGTTGGGATGACTACCATCCCTGTTCGGATGATGTTTCTACCGGCAACGACTGTAGGTTCTTCGTACTGGAACACAATCCACTCTGTATAATTCGCATATTGAACATCCGTGTTTTCTTCGTCATCCGGTACAGAATACTTAAATCCACAAATACTTCTGATGGAAGTGATATTCATCTCAAACACCATCCGATCAGTACAGCCCCCGTCTTCACTCGTCTGGGTGAAGGCCTCTAAGTTCTTGCCATCGGCGCAGGTGCCGACCCTGAAGGATGTGAACACACGATCAAATCCGGCAGGCCAATTAATTGTCCACTGTATCTTTATATCATCGACAAGTGTATTTAAAGTGGTATGGTCTTGGATGAGGGTAACGTGGTTTGGATTGTCTATCGAGCCCGTGATATCGGGACAAAGGCTGTAGGCCGTCGGTTCTACAACCGCGGTGCAAGCGTCACCGCTGAATAGTGAGTTGCAAAGACATTTTTGTCCGACTTCCGTGGTAAGTGTAAGCGAGGCACCGGCAGCATCGCACACCGCGGATGTAGTACCAAAGATAGCGAATCCGGCCGCCAGTAAAGTAAATTTGTTATCCATGTTTATTTTCGTGGTGTGTTTGTTGGAGTATAGTATATATACATATATATAAAGTGCTAGTTACTTGTCTTAAAAAAAGGCACAATGGCCCAGATTGCCGAGTTCGAGGTTTATACTTTATTAGCACAGGGTTCCAACCAAGGTACTTTGGAAGGCAACGTTCGTATTGTCCAACTGCCCTCCACAAAGAAGGCTGAAAAGTATCTAAGATCGCGAGTTTTTTGTTGTTTGTTTATTGGATGTTAGTTTTTTGTAAAAACAAAACAAGCATATTGTTTACTTTAGCCCTCAAAAATAAATTTACATAAATAGAGGCCAGCCGCCAACCTCCAAAGTCCAAAGTTACCAAACTGTGAAATATTTATTTAAAAATATTTGTTTTAGAATGTCATCCACAGTATGTGCCTTTTTTACAAAAAAACAATACAGAAATCGATTTTTAATTTCATAGACTTCAAATAGACACATATTTTTTATTCAAATCAAAATTGACACCCTATAAAGGTTAATATTATAACAAGGGGGTTAAAAAAAAAAGGACTTCAAGTTCTGGGTCTATCGACTGTAAAAAAAAGAAACATACTTAATTATTTAGTCAGCCACTCAGCCGCCGCCCAGTCCGCGCCGGCCAGCGGTCAGCCCTGTAAATATTAAAAAAAAATACGATAAAGCACGACATAATTACCACAGAACGAAGTAAGAACCAGGTCGTTCATCCTGATTTTCAGATTTCAGATTTTCACCCCTAAATACTTCCAAAACTACCGTTCAATTTCCCCCAAAATTAATGGTTGCTGTTTTTGACTTTTTTAATAAAATAAAACAAAAAGCTTTGACGCCGGGAAGGTTTTTCTAAAAACATGTCGCCAATTTTTGGCTATAAATATGTAAATACTGTACAATTGTATACAATTTTTTTTCTATACCAAAAATTAACCGAATAGAGTGGCTAGAGTCTAGACCGCTAAATAAATATGCATGTAGAGAGAGAGCCAACGACACATATTTTTTCTTTTTCCTTTTCTTTTTCTATCCAGATAGTTTTTTGGTTTCAAAAAACAATGGGAGTCCGACTGTTTTTTGACTTCACTTTTGTTTTTGGTTTTTTCTAAATAAATATAAAACAAACTTTGTTCTCTCTCATGAGTAATGAGTATCTAGAGTAGTATAATAAATAGCTGCAGACCTGCAGTAGTAATAGAGTAGAGTAAATCCGTCTGAATCACAGCGAATCTGGAATTTAGGAATATTTTAGAGTCACATACATACAGACTGACATACTCTCTGCAGTCTGCCCGTCTCTGCAGAGTGCAGTGTAGTCTGGGAGTCTGGGACTCTGGGAGTCTGGGCCTCTGGGGTCTTCTCTGGGACTGGGAGTCTGCCGTCTGGGACTCTGGGAGTCTGCTAGTCTACCTCTAAGCCTGGGCGGGCTCACTACTCTCTCTACTAGCTATGTAGATTGTAGTCATAGAGTCTACATACATACTACTAGACACTACTCTATTAGAGAGAGAAAGAGAGAGTAGTGGCTGCCGTTGTAGCCCTGTGCGTGAGTGTGCGGCTGTGGCCTGTGGCCTGTTAGCTCACTGGCCGGGGGCATTTGGCAGTGTGTTGTGAGGCCAGCTGCTACAGTAGTGCCGAGGATGTAGGCCTAACCTCATAAAGTATAAAGTTCAAACTTTTATAATCAAAAAGCTTTACGTTCAAAATCGAACTGTTTAAAAGTTTTAAATGGACCACTGTCAGTTGGATGGGTGCAATTTTCAGGTCATGGTGTCAATATCAGAATTGTCCCTTTCTTTTTCAAACAGCCCGTCGGCTGGCGCCCGCCAAAATGACCGTTTGTGATGCGCTTTTTATTGTCATGTTATTTTACATGCTTTCCTTTCTGGCATTGTATGTGCAATGATA